AGTCATTCACTGGGTCCTTTTGTCTGGGCTTTCTAAATACCTCTTAGCTCTATATTATCTTCCTTGCATCCTTCCCTTGGTTCAGGAATTCCTAAGTTCTTGCCCAGAATATTCCCATGGATTCCTGGGATTTTTCTCTCCTTCTGATTTGAATCTTCTCTGAACCACCCTCCATGTTGCAGCCAAGTCATTTTATGAGAACAAAATAAATCCTGATTGTGGGACCCCTTGCTTAATACTTGGTATAGTTTCTCCATACCTACAAGATAAACCCAAACTCTTCAGAAAAGCATGCATTTTAAGGCTGTTTGTTTGCAAAGAACACAAACTGACTTCCCCCCAAAGGGGTATTTATTAAAAGTTACAAGGGTATCTCATGACACACAGAGGCGGACAGTCACCTCAAGAATCCCTCCCCCGTGTCCCATGCTGTCAGGTCTCTGCTTCTCCCCGTGCCTTGTTCTATCAGCTGATTTCTCTCATAGACACATAAGCTTGACTTCGGGAGGCATGCCGTGGAGAAGGGCTGCTCAACCCCTGATCCGGTGACCTCGGCTCACATATCCATCACAGGCCAATATGACTCTTAGCTCATTTCTTGGACAAGAAGTCATTTAATGGGATCAGTCTACTCAATGGTTTGGTCCTTCTGGGGTCATGTCACTACGTTCTGTCCAATCACCTGTGGCCAGGGACAGCCAGAGCAAACGTCTTAACATGACTCACACCTGCAGCCAGGTTGGGAACGATGAGCTGGCCCTACCCAAGGCCCAAGCTAGACTTCTTCCCCCTGTTTTCAGGAGCAAAGCCTCGCTTTGTGTTTTCGTCATGGCCCTCTTTGGGGGGTGGGGATGTCCATCAGAAGCACACGTCTGACCGGTGGGGAGATTATGACCTGCATGTCAGTTCTGTCCTTGCCATGCGTTCTGCCCTCTCTGCTCTAGCCGGCTCAGCCCGTTTCCTGGCCCTTCCATGTCCTCCTTGCTCCCTTCTGCAAGACCATGGTTCGTTCCATCCTTTGACAGATTTCTGCCCCTGTACATATGGAAGAAGACTTCTTGGCTGAAGAAGAAACAGCGTTGTTGGTGGTTGGTTTTTTTGTTCTTGTTGTTGTTTTTCCCAAGACCTCCATAGTAAAGCATCTGTTGCTTGTGTTTCTGACATTTTTTCTTGTCTTGTCTTGTCTTGTCTAGCATCTTGAGGCCCTGCATTCGCCATCAGTGCCTATGAATTCCCTACTTTCTGGCTAATCTGCATCAGACTCCAAACTTGAGGGCAGAGATTCAATTCACCTGGACTAAGTTCTCCACATGCTAGCCCTGAGCCCGGTCCCTTGCAGCCAGTGGATAAATGGCATCTGTTGTTTATTACTTGCCCAGTTTCACCCAAACCGTAAGATTCTGTGCCTTCTTCCTGCACTCCTAGCCACTGCTTCCAACCACATTACTGTCTTCCGTCTCTACCCAGGGGTCCACAGTCACGTGTGTTCAAGGAAAGATGATTGCATGACCTAAGCTCCTTTCAACCTGAGAAAAAGGTAACATTAATGATAACTACTTGGAATAGTTACATAGTAACACTAGCAATCAGGAGGTCCTCCTGGTTCAAAAAGCCCTGGCTGGTTTTTAGACTCCTGGGATAGCCTCTCGCGACGCCCAGTTTCCCCCAGTTCACTGTACAGTAGCAACATCTGAATTGTTTTGTTCTTTCCTAAAGCTTTTCCTCTGCTCATACTCCCACTATTCCAGCTCCCTCTACTGACACTCCCTGTTCCTCATCCTTGCCAAGCTAGCCCAGAGGAAAGCATCCCTCCGATGTTCGTCAGGGTGGTCGAATGCCAAGTACTCTTGGTGAGGAATTCCTATTTTTTCAGAAAAGCCTGATAACAGGGGAAGAAGCCTGAAGTTTTGTTAAGGAGGGTCTTATTTCTCACTTTTATGTCATTACTGTCATTTGTTCATGGCAAATGTGATAATTTGGTGTGTGTGTTACTTTGATAACACAAACTAGTGTTTGTGGTGTGATAGTTTGGGTCGGTCAACAACGTCCTTTTCAGTGATCATCTTCTGCTATCTGGACAGTGTACTCAATCTTAAAAGTTAGCAAGGAGAGCTGAAGAGTAGTGCAGATGACAAAGATTCCCATCTGGAAACCAAAATCTCCTAACATGAAGTATGACGATTTTCCACAGAACTGACATTTATTACTTCCCAGGGAACTAATGTTTTTCACAGAACTAAATAACTAATGTATTCATTAATTTCTCGAAACCTGTTTCCTTATCATTTGAGTAGCAAGGCTTCGATTGTGGGAAAGGTTAAAACTACCCAGTGGTAAAAATGGGTGTTCAAAAAAGATTAAATGAGGGTGGAAAAAAGGAGAGAGTAAGAAGATAATAGATAGAAAAGCAAAGGTAATAAATAATAAGGAAATAAATGTTCTAATAAGAAAGTAATATGAAAATAGTAGCATGGCCAGATAGCCAGTATTCAGCAAGGGGTTAATGTGGTCACAGAAGAAAAAGTTAGCAAGTTGCATGCTGGGGAAAAAGTGGGTATTAATGTATGTATTCTTTCCACTGATTTCTTTCCTTATTCTTTGTAGCTATATTGACTAATGCAATATTCCAAACCACTTCAGTGTTTCATCAACTTACCAGACACTACTGGAACATTAAGAAGGTAAATAATTGATTTAGTGTTGCCCCTTAATATAAAATTGTATTTTCAACTCAACTGAACCAATGAAAAGAAATGCAAACGTAAACTTAGGAGAAAACAACAACAGGAAATTTGATTATTATTTGTGTTGCAAGCCTGAAGTAAGAAATTGAACATTTTGGATTCCATTTCATGTCCCGCCTTCCTTGCTAAGTGTCCCTTCTTTCTATGACAGTTTTCTATCTGAGATTCAGAATTCACAGCCCTCCCCCATAATGATCTCTCGAGTAGAACTGAATATGCAAAAGGATAAGGATATTTACAAATAAAATAGATTTGGTGTCTTTCAAGCTGTTAGAAAAATAGAACTACATAGTGATTAACAAATATTGTCCTCAAACTTCGCCAATAAGTGAGAGCTTTCCACAGGCACTCTAAACTTCAGATCCTTGCGTTAAAAAGATCTCAGGGGTCTAGGGGGTGTACCTGGGTGGCTCAGTCAGTTAAGCGTCTGCCTTCATCAGCAGGCAGTCTGCTTCTCCCTCTCCCTCTCCTTGCCGCTTCCCCTGCTTATGCGCTCTCTCTCTCTCTCTCTCTAATAAATCTAAAAAAAAAAAAAAAAAAAAAAAAAAAAAAAACTTAAAAAAAAATAAGACAAAGCAGAAAGATCTCTGGGTTCCAGTACTCCTGGGACTGCATCACACCTATACCATGCCATGGTAGATTTGAAATGTAAAACCACATCACATCCCTATGTGTTCACACCATACATTGGGGTGGAACAAATCTCTTGGAGCATTTGTAGACCTAGACCAACCCTAACTGACTCCCGCTGTTCCATAAAAGGTGTAGGGAAACCCCTGAGATGAGCTGGAACCCAGGCAATAAAGCCAGAAATCCCTGTAGGGAGGGCCATTTGTGACTGATGTCCCATAGCCCCACCAATGCTCTGGTGATTGTGATGTCCCCAAAGACTCCATCAAGCTGCTAAACAATGAAATCGGTTTCCTAAATTGCTTACAACTTCTATTATGACACTCTTGACCTTATCTTTTATTTAAATGTGCATGATGAATTCATTTATTCAGTCTTCAATACAACACAACTTCAAATAGTTAAAAATAATTTCATGTTTTCTATTTATATGTTCTACAGAAAGCCTACCATAGTGATAATTGATGAACATCTGACGACATTTTAAAACTTTCATTTAAAAAAATCCCAATAGATCACCCAGGCTCCCGCATGAATCATAATAAGAGAGCCTTATTTGCACTTTCTCTGACTCCATGAAAAATTTGTTGGTATAAAATTTGATATATAAAACAACATGCCATAAATGTAAAATAAAGAGGGGCACCTGGGTGGCTCAGTGGGTTAAAGCCTCTGCTTTCGGCTCAGGTCATGATCCCAGGGTCCTGGGATCGAGCCCCGCATCAGGCTCTCTGCTCAGTGGGGAGCCTGCTTCCTCCTCTCTCTCTGCCTGCTTCTCTGCCTACTTGTGATCTCTGTCTGTCAAATAAATAAATAAATAAATCTTTTAAAAAAAATGTAAAATAAAGAGTATTGTTAAGTAATGGTATACTGAGGGTTATCATGAAATATTTTTTCATGGTAGAAATTTATTTGCATCAAATTTGACAATTTCTTGCACAGTGAAGTAATATCTCAAAATTAATTGTTGGGGGACAATGCTCTGTGTGTCTCCCTCCGCATTTCTGCCTGTCTTACAAACAGGGGCCCTGGCCGTCTTTCTTCTGGACTGTCTTTTCAGGGATGCCTTACGTAACAAATAGTGTTCAAAGCTAGAGATAACATCTCTCTCTGGAGCAGAGGAGGCTTACCTACAGCCTGGGAAGATGAAAAGAGTATCTCCCATCCTAGTGGAGGACAGACTGTACAGTATAATGAAAATGGTATTTCCCTCTGAAAAAGAGCAAACCTGTGTACTGCCAGTTACAAAAGAATCAAGCTTCCTAACTACATGTTCAGATGTCACCCAGACTTCTTCACATTGCCCTGTGAGTCTTAGGGCTAAGGGGAGCAGTGGAGACCATGGAGATGTTCTGGATACTGCTGTTGCTATAAATAAGAAAGTCCTCTATCTCTGACCCTGGAGACTCAAGTCTTTGCCAGCACCCATGAAAGTATGGCACGTGAACTCCTTAGCTTGCAATTTTGGTAAAATCTCACACGCTCCACAGTTTTTGCCATTATTTTCACTTAGTATCATATTGTATGTGAAGATACAAATGGCATGCATTTCCAAAATACCTGACTCAAAAAAAAAAAAAAAGAATTTCTGTTAAAACTAAGTTTTTTATCATGTGGCATCCCGTAGTAGCAGCTTTAATTCAGAATCCCAGAGTTCATAACAAACTGTATAAGAAAAAAGGAATCACTCCCTGACTCATAGAAATGGTTTTGTGACTGCTTCTCTTTTAAAAGATGAGCTTCTGGGGCGCCTGGGTGGCTCAGTGGGTTAAGCCTCTGCCTTTGGCTCAGGTCATGATCTCAAGGTCCTGGGATCGACCCCCGCATCCATCTCTCTGCTTGGCAGAGAGCCTGCTTCCTCCTCTCTCTCTGCTTGCCTCTCTACCTACTTGTGATCTCTGTCGGTCAAATAAATAAGTAAAACCTTTAAAAAGAGAGAGAGAGAGAAAGAAAAAGAAAGATGCGCTTCCTTCTGTCTCTGCTGAACAAAGCCTTTCAACCCGAACTTCCCTCTTCACTTCAAAAATGTTTTTTACCTTCACCGATCCTCTCTCTTTTCCTCTTGTCTTAGAAGCAAGTTATAAAATGGCCCGAAGCTATTGTCAGTCTGTGTTTATGTCCCTGGGCCATCCTCCCCCCACACTGGGCCTCAGCTGCCTGGGACCTCTGGAATCCTTAGCTCTGACCTGAGGAATATGACAATAGTAATGTCACATGAACTTTGGTGCCTGGACCCTCAAAGGTCTTAGTACCAGCACCCCCTTTCCTGAGACGCCACGTAGAGAAGTCCAGGCTGAGGCCCTCCTCGGCATTTCTACATCCAAGCCAGGGCAGGGAGGCAAAGGGCTATGATCATTTGGACCCGCGTGCAAACTGGGGCTGCTTCAAGTGGGCCCAGCTGAGACGCCTGGAGCGTAAAGGAGCCGTCTCGGGTGGCAAATCATAAACCGATGTTGCTTGGTGCTTCTCCCCCGGCTTTGAGGAGGTTTGTTACACGGCCGTGCGTAACTGACACACGTATCAACAGCCCTCTTCTTTATCAAAGCTAACTTCTGTGCTGTGGAGACCTCGCTTCATCTTTCTGAGAAGTCAACACCTTGTCTCCCTAAGGCCTCCTGTCACCTGTCTCATGATGTACTGCCATCTTATGGTCTTAGCACCCGGGGTGGGGGCCGGGAGACCCTTTTGTAACAATAATACACCCAAGAAACTGTCAGTGTGTATATGTCCACACACAAGCAATTTTCGAAAAAATACAGCAAACATACATTTTTGCTTCATCTTTACCTTCCATTCATTTCTGTTTCCCAGTTTATGCCCTTTTCTTCCCACAGAAAGCAGTATCTTGAAAAGCCAGTTAAAATTTGCTAATCCAGAGCCCTGGTGCCATTCCTCCTGCATTTGGAACGATTTAGCATTTGACTGATAAACACTGTATTTTTCTCAAACTCTTCCATCGGCTTCCAGGATTTTAAGGTCCCAAGCTTCTTAAAACACCTCTGGCTGTTCCTTCCTAACAGTTTCACTGGCTCACCTTTCCCACCTGACCTTCTTGTTTGGGCACATCTGCTGTCTGTCCCCGTCCCACTTCTCTTTTTAGTCTATGTTCTATAATGTTCATGCCTCCTGGTCCCATGACTTTAATTGTGACCTCTATTAAAATGGCTCCAAGTCATCCGAAACTCATTTCTTTCCCAGGCTCTAGATTTGTGTTACGTGAACCAGCCAGTGGAGTTGACATCTCCCGGGAGCCGAGAGGGAAAACAGAATTGCAGGCTCTAATCAGACCTACTGAATCAGAATCTGCATTTTTACAAGCCTCCCAGTGATCCACACGTGTGTGAAAATCTGAAAATTACTGCTCTAAATATGTATTTCCATCTACCTTACCAAAACAGAAATAATCATTCCCCGCCCTGCAACTCTTCCCCACTACCACAGAACACACTCTTCCTTTCCAGGAATCCATTATGATTTTACTAATGTACTGGGCCAAAAAAGCCAAAATCCTTAGCATCATTCTCTGCTCATACTTCTCCCTTACTGCCCTCAACTGCCAGTCCATTGTTGCCAAGTCTGGTCCATTTGACTACCAAGATCTGTCCTTCTTCCTGCCTTGTCCTGCTTACCGCACTGGGTCTCCTTTTCCCCTAGATGGTTAGGGTCACATCCAAACTGGAAACCCTCCCTCTCCCCTTTCTTGTAATGCATTTCCGCTCACTCCCAGCTACTTACTGCTCACCATTCTTAAACAGACAAACAAACAAAAAAAAAAAACCACAAAATAACAAAGGTATGTCAAGTTCCTTTTAAAGTCTTCATGAACTTTCCTTTGCTACAGGAAATGAAGTGTGAACTCTATAGCGTAACATTCAAGACCATCCAAAATCAAGCCCCAACCTGCCTGTTTGATATTCTCTCTCCGTTCTCAAGTCAAAACGGAAAGCTGGCATTTATTCATCGGCTCACTCAGTGTGGAATTCTCTTCATTCTCGCATCCCAACTGTTGAATCCTGCTTCTCCTTCAAGGCTTCCCCTTCCCTGTCATAAACTCTCCAACACTGTAGTCAAGAAGGAGACACTTCTCATTCCTCTGAGCCCATTTGAACTTGATGCAGTTTATCCCTGGTTTTAACACGGATCGCCTCACATTGTGCTCCCCGTGCATGTGTCTCTAGTCCACAGGAGCAAATCCTCAAGGTGAAAATGACATTCTATTTATCTCTGTAGTCCCCACAAGGACTCACACAAGAAGAACTCAGTATGTTTGTTGAACTAATGATTGAGTAGGCTCAAATTTTTCATTAGTTCACCCCTATTGCTAACCTGCATGTATTGTTTTTCCTTCAACAGGTAGTAGTTTTTATTATATATACATTATGATATATATTATTTTTATTATTTATATTATTTGTATATTTATTATAATATATACTATATATTGTACTGATATATATACTATTTATTATAATATATATTATACATTGAGTGTAGTTGACACACATGTCGGTTTTAAGTGTACAACTTAGTGATTTGACAAGTGTATACATTACATCATGCTCACCACAGTGTAGCTACCATCTGTCCCATTATATCGCTATTACGACATCACACACTGTATTCCTTATGCTCTGCTTTTTATTCTCATGACTGATTCATTCCATAAGTGGAGGCCTGTATCTCCCTTTCCCTATCAGTCACTTGCCCAACCCTCCACTCTGACAACCATCAGTTTGTTCTCTGTATTTATAGATATGATCTTGCTTTTTGTTTATTTTTTAAGATTGCATTTATGAGTGTAATCATATAGTATTTGTCTTATTCAGCCGGACTTATTTCACTTAGCTTAACACCCTCTACGTCCATCTATGTTGGCTCAAATGGCACAATTTCATCCTTTTTGTGGCTGTGTAAAATATATATATATGTATATGTATATCACATTCTCCTTATCCATTCATCTGTTAGATACTTGGGTTGCTTCCATCTGTTGTCTCTTATATATATAGCTACAATAATGTTACAATAAATATATGGGTAAATCTTTGGGTAAATATCCAGTAATGGAATTATTGGATAATATGGTTATTTCTATTTTTAATTTTTTGAAGAAACTCCATATTGTTTTCCACAGTGGCTCTACCAGTTTGCCTTCGCATCAGCAGTGCATGAGGGTCTCTTTTTCTCTACATCCTCATCAACACTTGTTGTTTCTTATATTTTTTATTTTAGCTATTCTGGCAGATATGAGGTGATGTCTCATTGTAGTTTTGATTTTCATTTCCTTGATGATTAATGATGTTGAATATCTTTTCATGTGTTTGTTGACCATATATATGTCTCCTTTGGAAAACTGTCTACTCAGGTTCTCTGCTCGTTTTTTAATTGGATTCCTTGTTTTTTTTTAAAGTATTGACTTCTATAAGTTCTTTGTATATTTTAGATACTTACTTCTTACTGGATATATCATTTGCAAATATCTTCTCCCATTCAGTATGTTGTCTTTTTGTTTTGTTGATTGTTTCCTTTGCTGTGCAGAAACTTCTGATTTCGATGTAGTCCCAGTAGTTTTTTTTGTTTGTTTGTTTTGTTTTCATTGCCTTAGTGGTCAGTGTCAGAGAAATTGCTACATGTGTTCTCTTTTAGAATTTTTATGATTTTAGGTCTCACCATTTAAATTTTTCTTTTAAAGATTTATTTATTTATTTGAAAAAGAGAGAGAGCAGGAGTGGGGAAAGGCAGAGGGAGAGAGAGTCTCTTAAGCAGACTCTGTGCTAAGCACAGAGCCTGATGTAGGGCTCAATTCCACAACCCTGAGATCACACCCTTAGCCGAGACCAAGAGTCAGATGCTCAACCGACTGCACCACCCAGGGACCCCTATTTAAGTCTAATCCATTTTGATTTATTTTTGTGTATGATATAAGAAAGTGGTCCAGTTTCATTCTTTTGCATATAGCAGTTCTGTTTTCCCAACATCATTTATTGAAAAGACAGTCTTTTCCCCATTGCATTGTCTTGCCTCCTTTGCAATAGATTAATTGTCTGTATAATTATGGATTTATTTCTGGGTTTTCTCTTCTGTCCCATTGATCTATATGTCTGTTTTTTGTGCCAGTACCATATTGTTTTGATTACTATAGTTTTGTAGTACATCTTGTAATCTGGAATTCTGATACCTCCAGCTCTGTTCTTTCTCAGGATTGCTTTAGTTATTTGGGCTTTTCCATGATTTCTTACAAATTTTAGCACTATTTGTTCTAGTTCTCTGAAAAATGCTGTTGGTATTTTGATAGGGATTGCACTGAATCTATAGGTTGCTTTGGGTAATATGGATGTTTTAGCAACATGTGTTCTTCCAATCCATGAGTATAAGATAACCTTCCATTTCTTTGTGTCATCTTCAGTTCCTTTCACCAGTGTTTTATAGTTTTCAGAGTACAGGTCTTTCACCTCTTTGGTTAAGTTTACTCCTAGATATATTATTCTTTTTAGAGTAATTATAAATGATTTTTTTTTTAATTTCTCTTTCTGTGATTTCATTGTTAGTATACAGAAAGGCTACCAATTTCTGGGTATTAATTTTGTATCCTGCCACATTATTGAATTTGTTTATTATTTCTAATCATTTTTTCAGGGTTTTTTGATGGTCTTTAGGATTTTCTATGTATGCTATTATGTTGTCTACAAATAGTGACAACTTAGCTTCTTTTTTGCCACATGGATGCCATTTCGACTTA